TTTGCTCCATGACTTGGATAAATGAAATCCACCTGTGGGAATAGAGCTTTGAGGGCCACATAGATAATCAGTCCTCACTCTAAGGAGCGTGAGCAGTGCTTCTCTGCTCAATACAGGGAAGGGACACGCATGATAGGGCTTCTGAACCCTGAAACCTACTTCAGTCCTAGGGACGTTTGAGAAACCCAACACTAGCCTCCTACCATGAGAGCCGCTCCAAAAATCAACTTGAACACAGATTTCCTATCTTTGTTCTCCAAGAGCCCACAGAGGAAAAGCTGTCCCACAGGGGATTCAGAGACTCCCATGAGCTACTTGCAGCTCAGAGGAAGAGCCTCTGCCTTCTTCTAATACAGATGTCTACACTCTGCTGGGCTGCCAGATGCCATCCCCAAATAGGAACAAATGAAACCCACAGAAGCCAGAGCCCCTTCTCATGAAACCTCAAATGCTTGCATCTTGGTGTTAACCCAGATACTCTAATATTTGAAAGAAAATTTTAAAAACAAAACAAAAACAGTTCCACAAATTCCACCAAGCTCTGCAGACTGCATTTTTAATTAGCAGTGCAGTTTGGTTGAGGGACGAGTTGCTTTAGTTCCAACCACTTTGAGCAAGTGAGGTAACTTGCTCTGAGCAAGGTCTTTTTCATTCATAAGGTTAGGGATGGTAACACTACTGACTCATGAGAATGAAACAAGTTAAACCAGGCAGACACTGGTCCTAATGCCCGGCACAGAAGTTAGAGCTCAGAAATGTCAGCTATTATTACGCCTCGCCTACTGCCTTATCTTTTACGCTTACAAGAAAGGTTAATGGGCATGCATAAAGTTACAAATTTCAAATTCCATGCATATTCCATTATTACTTATTTTACCACCTGGAAAAGCTCAAAATATTTAATTCTGCCCTTGAAGTAAGGACAATTTTCTAGATGCGACAGTCAGCTCAAAGAATCCAAGCCCCATGATAGGCTGTACCACAATCCGGACAAAGACTCGGCTCGTGTGTATAAACCTGGGTGCGTTCTGCACTGTGTGGGCTTGCAGCACGTGAGCCGTGAAGCCCCAAAAGCTGACTTCAGCGTGCCCATCCTCGCTCAGCTGATCCCGGTGGAGACGCTGACAACCGAGAAAGTACAGCAAGCAATCTTCTCCAGAAAGGAAGTAAAATGAGGAAATAACCCCAGGGCGGGGGGG